TGGATTACGGATGTACATTATATGGTTCTGCTAGTAATAATCTATTAAACAAAATCAATATTTTTCAAAACTCTGCTCTAAGGACAGTTTTAGGTGCCATGAAGTCTACTCCTATTCAACCCTTACACGTGGAAGCTCTGGAACCTCCTTTGGAAATAAGAAGAAATTATCTCAGTGAAAAAATGTTAATTAAAGTCTATACCAATAATCCTAAATTATTTCATCAGATTATCATATTAAATAGTTATGATTTGACTAATAAATATTGGGTTAAAAAAAAATCCCCACCCCTTTGTCTCGCTTTACAAAACAATAGCAATATTATAAGTGCTCTGTATAAAACAACCCACCACCCTGAAATTAATGATTTTTTTAGCTTTTATTCAGACATTTCCTTTATTAAACCAAACTATGAAGAAAATATATCTATAAGTAGCAATATATTACTCTCTATTTTAAATAATTTTGAAGATGCCTTAATATTATATACGGACGCATCCAAATCAGCTAATGGCGTAGGCTCTGCTTTCTTTGAACCTAAAGAGCACATAGAAAAATCTTTTAAAATTAGACAAGAATGTTCCATCTATACTGCGGAAGCTGCAGCTATCTACGAAGCACTTATTTACGCCTCTTCCTGCAACAGAGAAACGATAGTTATTGTATCAGATTCCCTCTCAGTTTTAACATCTATTAAAAAAAATGGGCTTCCTAATACATCGAGTTGCCCTTTTGTAATAAAAATTAAGAAACTTATCCAAACATTTTCAGAAAGAGACCAGAACGTGCATTTTATTTGGATTAAAGCTCACATTGGGCTGAAGCACAACGAACATGTAGATTTGTTGGCCAAAAAAGGCTCTGTAACAGGTTCTAATACGTCATATAAGTTATCTGTTTCTGATGTCACTGCAATATTAAAAAGAAATCAATTCAATAAATGGCAACACTTGTGGCAGGAATATTGTTTTACAAACCCAACGAGGTATACGACTCTTCAGTTAAACATTCCTAAGATCCCTTGGTACAAGCATTATAAAATACCGCGAAAGTACATATCGACAATGATTAGGATGAGATTTGGTCATGCCTGTTATCCTAGCCATTTATACAAAATTAAAGTCTCTGAAAGTGACCAATGCGAGACGTGTAATGAAAAAGGAGATCTGGATCATATCTTCTTTAATTGTACTAAAAACAAAAAATTCTCTGACAAGCTATATAACGACCTGCTTAAATGCAAAATATGCAATTGGAGGACAATAAACATATCCAAAGTTTATTGTCCTCCAATTGCACAAACATTTATGACTGCTTGCTTAATTTTTTAATGGAATCAGGTATACGCTTGTGATTAGTAATTCTCTTAGACTCGTTACCTTTGTTTTTTTTCCTATTGTTTTATTTTACCTCCTTACCGTGACCTAGTGTAGTCTGTTTTTCTGTAATGCCTTGATGGGTCCCTAGGCGAGAAGCGAGTGTCCCCGTTTAATCCTCTTGTTATTTGAAATGAAATATTTAATGATTTACCTCTTTCATTTTGTGACTGGCTGTATGACAAAAGAGTCTATGCCAAAAAAAAAAAAAAAAAAAAAAAACATTACACTACTAGTTTTCTGATGTATACCCACAGTATATTATTTGCACTATGGTAATTGCTGATTTTAAAATTAGAAGTGGTAACTAAAATATAACATGATTGATATAGTTTAGACATAAGTATTATTGCAATTTATTAATTTTAGTATCAGGTTTTTTTACTGTATATTTTATAACATAAAGGTCAACTTCTTCGCGTAATTTATATTATATACAAAAGACATGAAAAGGTTTTTATTATTTTTATTGATAAGGAATCGCCAGTATAAAATTTTCAACAAAAGAAAAAACAAAAAACAGAACGGCGCTGTTATCCCTCTATTGCTTTCATGCTTTTCCTTCGACCTTCTCTTATCTGCTTTGTTTATTCTCTGTTTATTCTCAACTCTCATTCTACTACTCGATTCAAGTCAAGTGAAATTTTCTTTATCTTCAATTTTTTTATCTTCATTATATAATTTTTATTTACTTTTTATTTATTTAATTAAAACATTCAACTGCCTATAGCTACTTACAGGATGAGAGGTGATACAGAAACTTAAGAAACCAAAAATAGAAAACAAGAAAATAATTGTTACATCATTGATATAATGAATAATACAAATACAATATAGTTGATTTGAAATTGTGAAGGTACCTTGAAAAAACTCTCCATGAGAGAAAAGGCTACTTTTTTCCCTGGGCTCGTCTGACTATGTATCTCCGAATAACACTGAAGCCTATTGTCTTATTGTGTTTTCCCCATGTTAGTTTATAGCACCCACTCTATCACCTTTGTACCTTGTACAAGTTTGTACAGATCCTTGGGTGAGTGGGTTCTATACGTTGTTAGATCAACCTGGGGTTGTCCAAAAAGAGCCTGTCTTTTGCGATCTAGAGCTTTGCATTCGCATAGTATGTGTTTGGCCGTTTCTGGTTTCTTGTGACATAGTCGGCACATGAGTTCCCCATTGAACATGCCAATTTTGTTCAAGTGTCCCTTTACTGGGGCGTGCCCAGTCATGAACCCTGTTATCACTTTCAACTGGTTCCTATTCATTAAAAGTAGTTCTCCAGTTCTTTTGGGACATGGTCTGCCTATGAAGGCTTTTCCATGTGCCTGTTTTGGGGTGCTTCCCCAATAGTTGATATGTTGTTCCCGAATCCAGTCATTTATGAAACCCCGGACTGTACTTTTTGGTACTCCTGGGTTTGTGTCTGTTTCCGGTGTTTCTTCTGACCCTCTTTTTGCAAGTTCGTCAGCCTTTTCGTTGCCTTCGATCCCTTTGTGACCTGACACCCAAAATAGTTTTACTCTATTTCGGTCTGCCAGTGTTCTTAGTTCTTCGATGCATTCCCATACCAGCCTCGACTTAACTTTCTGACTCGATATGGCCTTAAGTGCCGCTTGGCTGTCTGATATTATTTGAATATGCTGGTTTTCGACAGCTCTTTCATTGTTCATTTTTGCACATTGCAAAATTGCGTATACCTCGGCCTGAAATACCGAAGAATGTATTCCTATAGCATAGCTATGGTTAGTATCAGGGTTTTTGGAGAATACTCCTGCCCCAGTGCCTTCCGCAGTCTTAGACCCGTCTGTATACCAGGTTTGTTCCTGTCGTTGGGCATTCGGCTCCCTTATGGTGATCTCCGCTCTTTCCTGTATTAAAACCTCAAAAGGAGTATTAAAAGAGTACCTCTTGGTTATGTGGTCTGATCTCATGTCTAGCACGTCTCCTGTCACTAACCTTGAGATACTCATGTGACCTGGCCTAATGTCAAGATTTCCCAGTGTATTCCCTAATCTGTAAGCACCTAATCTTGCCTCTCCTTGTATCACATAGTGAAGAGGTGGGAGTCCTATTAGTGCTTCCATTGCAGTAGTGGGGGTTGTTTTCATTGCCCCCGTTATTCCGAGGCAGGCAAGTCTTTGTACCTTGGCTACTTACACAAATCAGTGAAAATAGAGTAAAATAACAATACGTGTATAAAAGCAAGTAAGAGCAAATTAAAAACTTAAGAAACAAAAATATGAGTCCAAAGGGAAACCTAACAAAAATAATTTACAATTACGAAAACAATGTTCTAGTTTTATTTATGGAAGTACAGAATATGAGTAGTTATTTACCTCTGATAGCATACTGAATAATGGTGACTGACACAGGACATTGGTCCTAGGAACCGGGAGTGAAAAGGTTTGAACATGCCTCACAATAACTCTAGGGATATAAAAATTAAGTTAACTTAATAATGTTGAACATTTAATGCGATTATGTAGTAAATTATAAATAAAAATAATGGCTGATACAATCCTTCTCGTGTGCAAACTTGGCATTTTTAATATTACCAGTTGATCCTAGTGTTGGAAACATTTCAATAATTCAAAAGTTGTTGTCTTGATTTCAAGAAAAATCAAGTAAAGAGTCTAATTTTGGATATTCAAGACAAGAGAAGAACAAGACAATCATCAGGCATCAAGAAATTTTGTCAAGAATCAAGCAGTCTTGATTTTTAAAAAAGTTAACTTTTTGTAAATAAAATATCAGTTTATTAAAATTTTAGCAGTTTATTTGAAGTGTAAGAATAAGCACTTTTAACACAAGATTTTAATTGAAAAGAAAAAAAAATAATGAAAATGAAACCTGTTTATTAGTCGAAATACTTTTTAAATAATAAATTATTCAGCCAAGAATTCAGGCACAACTGACTTCTACTTGACTGATTAGTCAAGCGAATCCTATGTTTGGTAATCACAGGGGCTGCCTTTGAGAAAAGTTGTTCCGATGGTGCAGAGGTGGACATAATGGATAAAATATCTCTTGCTTTTTTTGACAAATTGGGGAAAGTTTTCTCATTTTTCCAATACCAATTAATCACGTCTGTCTTTTCTCCAGCTCTTGGACTGTTATAATATTTATCCGCTTCCCTTCTCCATGGTTCTATAAGTTACTCTTCAGATGTATTTGCAAAAAGTGAACCTAAACCTACTTCAAAATCATCGTCAACCTCATCTAAAATATTATGTTTATTATTTCTGCCATTCTTGTCTGCAGTGATGGTATAGAAATTTTCATCTTCCTGGTAATATAAACTCTATACATATTTTCAAATGTCGACACAATCTTTGCCCCAATTAGTATGTTTAAAAGTTTCCTTTTTATGTCGAGGATCTAAAATTATTGAAACACAATTTGATTTATTCTAGTTTTTCAGTATTTTATCTCTTGAGGCATTCAGTGCTAGAATAATATTTTCATCTGTAGTTGTTCTTTCCGGTTTTTCATCGAGCGTTTTGGCCCACGACTCTAATTTATCTAACAATAAGTTTATACCGATTACTGTCTGTGTATTAAACGGTTTTAAATACTTTAAAACATCCCTTAAAAGATTCCATGATTCTTCAGAGACCCTAAATTTTGTCAGTTTGGTATTATTGTCGCACAAAATTTTGCTGATTTACATGCTAGGGCCCATGAAAGCATTTGAAGAGTGGAGTTCCAGCGCGTACGTATATCAACTACAGGCATCAGATAATCAATGTTTGCTGTTTCACAACAAGTTCGGAATTTTACTAATAACTGTTCAGATTTTTGAAGCTTTCTCGCCAATTGTCTGATGGTAACAACAAGAAAATTATTATAATTAGGCTCTTCAATTACTTCTTCAGTTTCACTTTCGGATTCCTGAAATTCTGACTCTTCTTCATATTCACTATCCTGGTCGTTAGGGTTGTCATAAATATCGTTATTGATTAAACTATCGGTAAACAAGTTCATTAGATCTTTAGCTCCTAAGTTTAGGATATGTGCGAAGCATAAAAAGTGATTATTTTTTAATAAGAGTGCTTCAATGAGACGTGACAGTAAAATTGGATTCTGTGTTATCAGTTGTCACACCTTGAATTTTGTTTTCAATATTATAGAAACGTAGCACTTTGAAAAACAGCTGGGCAATACGTACATCTGTATGCTTCGCATTCGATGGTAAGAAATCTAATGTGATTGACTGTAACTTGTAATCATCAGTAATAAAATGGGCTGTAATTCCATAATCGAGCAATGTGAAATAGATGACCAGCCATCAATAGTACAGGAGATTTTTGATGTATTTACTAATAAAACTTGTTTAACATTCTGGTGTACCTTCGCAAAAGTTTTCAATATACTTGACTTCATAATATATCTACTTGGTAGTGATACCTCTTATTTTAATTATTTGTTTGAATCTATTACAGTTTAATCTTCAAAAAAACTGAATGGTAAATACTTCTTGGCCTTCATGTTTACTAATAATTTAATAAATTTTTCTTGGGTGAACTTGGAAGTGATCTAAAACAAAAACATACAAAAATATCGAAAACTTTATATTTGTTCATAATGAAACCAGTCATTAAAAATAGAAAAACTAACTTTTTAGCCGTGCATATACATATTTTATAGAGCTAAATTTACCTAATGTATACCTATATAATTTACATAAAGCCTTAGTTAATCTGTTAACCTGTGATGGAAATACGGATCAATACAGGAAAAGAAAGGTTGCAAAAATAAAAGGAGCTTTATTTTATAATAAATATATTTCAAAAATGTATTTGTTTTAAAAATTCAAACAAGTTATGTAATATAAAATATATGTTATTTTATAATTTAAACTTACTTTTCTTTAGATGAGCAGTTAGTAGTTTCAAATTAATCCAGTATTTCTTGTTTGTGAAAAATATATTGTATTCTGTTTATTATAAAATAGAATAGAATAAGAAAATCTATGGATTATTAACTAGGTAGGAACATAAAAACATAACATTCTTCTATCTACCGGGTGCTCCATTCCAAACGATCCTTCCTTAATATCCAGAAAAAAAATCATATTTTATTAATACTATCTCAGAAACGCCAATTTTGAATTTTAATGAACTTAAGCACAAGTGGTGGATCCTAGAAACCCCCTTTCCTAACTTAGTAAGTCAAGAATTTAGATTAAAATTAATGTTAGGTATTTTTGAGAAATGTTTAGGTTTTTAAGGTCTGTAAAAGCTAAGTTTACACTGTTAGTTGCAACAAAAATGAATCAGTCTCCCGAATCCTTTATAAAACTGTTAAAATCCATTAAAAAAACTTAAACAGAGTTTAAACAACAAATAAAATAAAATAAGAAGGACGAACAACATTGTTTTATACAGTTGACTAGAATAAAAAAAGAAATAAGAAGGAACCAACAATTCACAGCTTTTTTGATAATGACTTAGTTTCAATAAATTATCAAACATCTCTGGAGACATCCTAGTATATTTGAAAAATTGCTTCCTCTCATGAGTTTTTGCATATAACAATAAATTCTTCCAAATAAAATAAACTTAGGTAAAACGATAAAAGTTTGCCATCTTTTCTACTAATTCCTATTTCTTATTTTACGTTATTTCATATATAAACGCTATAGAGTTATTTATTTATTTATTTATTTATTTATTACAATATCCTCGGGAAAGCCCAATTACAGGATAAGAATAAACACACAAAATACAGAAACAAAAAAAAATAATACAAAGCAGTATATCTGTTAAGCTATATATGAATACTCACTCAAAAAAACCCTTTAGGGAAAAAAAGTAAGCACTCATATGCAGCTATGTTACACACATGGGTACATATTAAATTATTGACCAAATTCTGGACATCCGTCCTTCCTACAAATTACTCCGAAGAATGTTGTTTTTAATTTGAGCAGCTTTTGTGCAAAAAATATCAATACTAGGTTCAATTGAAGAGTAGTCAATGATGAGCTGATTCAACGGAGAATATTTGTAAATATTTGTCTTATGTGGTAATTCATAAAAAAGACTCTGGGTTCTAGAATTTGGTCTAGGAACTCTGAAATTTCGTGACGATACAATATTATCACATTTAAAAATATAGTTAACAATTTTATATAAAAACATAATTGAATGCATTGACCGACGACGAATTAAACTACAGCTATCAAAACGAATATAAAAGTGTTCTTGAGGTGTGCCTCTAGCGGGATAAAGACCGTCCAAGATAAAAGAAGTCGACTTAAAGTATCTTCTTTGCACTCGCTCCAAAGCGGAAATATGAATATTATAATTCGGGCTCCAAATAACACAAGCATATTCTAGTTGCGATCTTACAAAAGCCGAAAACAAAAGATTCAATGTATTAATATTACTAAAACATTTTGCATTTCTAAGAATAAAACCCAGCGACTGATATACTGAAGAGATTGTTTTTTGTATATGAGGAATAAAAGATAACTTTGGATCAAAATAAACACCTAGATCTTTTAGGATATCTGGTCTGTCGAGGATAATATTACTTAAATTGTAATTAAATTGGATAGTTGATTCTTTCCGACAGAAAGACATTACGTTGCATTTACTTGGATTCATAGGGAGCTTATTTCTGATACACCAATTATTAACATGATTAAGGTTTCGCTGGAGGTTCAAGCAGTAATTGACGGAGTTTATCTCACAGAATAGTTTAATATCATCAGCATATATATCTTTATCAATATCAAGATCTTCGGTGATGTCATTTATACAAATATTAAAAAGTAAAGGACCCAATATAGACCCCTGTGGGACACCGGAAGTTTGAAGAAAAGGTTGAGATTTATATCCTAAAGTTTGAAAGTATTGAGTGCGTTCCTAAAGGTAAGATTTAAATACAGCAATTAACCTGTCATCTATTCCGAATAAGTTAAGCTTATGTAAAAGTAGGCCATAATCAATCTTATCAAATGCTTTAGAAAAGTCAGTGTAGATAATATCAACTTGACTTTTCTTCTCCAGCGTTTCACAAATGAATTGGGTTACGCAGAATATATTAGTCACTGTGGACCTACCAGATGTGAAGCCATGTTTTTCGGGTATGATAATATTACTGGCATGAAATGCAAGATGATTATGGATTACTAACTCGAATACTTTTGCGAAATTGCTTAGAATAGCTACTGGACGATAATTACTTATGTCATTTTTTGTGCCTTTTTTTAAATATTGGACAAATTTTAGAAACCTTCCAACAATCAGGAAACTTCTTAAGTTTGAGAATGAGATTAGAGAGAGATATGCATGTTTAACTTTATTTTATTTGCTGTTTTTACAAAATGGCAAATGCACCGTTAAAAAAATTTGCCAAAATGTGGTACAAAAAAAGTAAATTACAAAAAAGTTTTGTTTTCTATTTCTTAATTTAATACAAAAATCAAAAAACACTGACATATATGTGTTTTGTTAGAAATATGTGTTAACGCCACTGTAACAAATAATTTTAATATTAAACATTTAACCCTCAGTACTCAAAATAGCCTTGCCAAGTTCCATCAAAATCGGAAAAGGAATTTCTTGATATCTGAATAAAAATAAAATTTGCAATATGTTTTCCTCAATTAACGTTAAAGTGAGGCGTCAATACATTTGTAACCGATAAATTAGTAGGTATACAATACTGTTATATTACATGTTATGTACTTACCCTTAAAATTTTGAACAAAATCTTGTAGTTGATTCAGTTTTTCTGTTTATCCATTATCAGACATCTAACACAATAACTGATGCACAATTGCAAAAACTAAAATCATACTATAAGGGAAAATAGCGTCACTTAAGAAATCGACCTATATTCATGGAGGAAGGATAATTAGGAGTTGCCGTTTCTTTGAAAAAATATGGCAACAGGTGTGCTTGCAGCGCCACCGGTAAGGGATTTGTCCAACTATTTCTCAGTCGGTAATATAGATACCTGCATATTTTATTTTATTTAAAAATTAGCGGGATTTTGTTTGTAGCTCTACTTTAATTAGTATAACTAAAATTTTGCATTTTTATTGGCATTTTTTACAACACAGACAAGGTGCAAGATGTAACAAAATGCCAATCAAAATGTAAAATTTTATGACCCATAATTTTAGGAAGGGTAAAATAATTTAATATAAAATAATTGTATTATCTTTTATATCATTAAAACTAATTTATAATAAATTTTCTAAATAAACAATATTTTAATAAAACAACTAAAACTTTCTATAAACGTGGGTAGGTAACAAAATACATTAAGGAGAACCATCCATATAATCTGAAACAGAAAAAATTCAAAGTAGTATTTTAACTTCGTATCATTTTGAATCTCTTTTTTCTTTTAGACATTGTCACAGTTTTATACTTTCATTATAATATTTTATAATTAATAATGGCAGTCCCTTCATCTTTTAATTAGATGTAGTACTTTTAAAAAAACAGATGTCTGCGGGATCAAGCTTTGAAGTCCTTCTTTGATTCGCAAATTTTACTTTGCTGTTTTCTAATTATAAAATAGAGTTTTTTCTCCCTTGGAGCTAACCATTCACTGGATTGATTTAAAAATCCAAGAGGTAATTATTGTTTTTTAGGTAATAATTATATTTCATGGGATGAAATTTTAATCGAATGTAACTTTCTTTTCACTGGTAATTTGTTTGACGGTATGATAACAATATTACTTTAGTATTACTCTTTACTGTTAATTTAGCTTTCAAGGGTACCAAAGGTAAAGCCAATTTACAGTCTTGTAACCTATAAATGGTTTTTCGCAAGTAGAATGATGAAGTTTATGCGGCATCATTTAGTTCCTTGCTTAATATCGGAAGGAAATAAAAAAAATGTGTTCTTAAAATGTACAGCATAAATTGGACAGTAAATTGTATTATTTACCTTTATACAAACAACGCTATTACAATTAGATATTATGAATTTATTACGAACAGGACCTGCTAAACACAT